CATGGAGAGGGATCAGCCATTGGAATGGGCTGCCCAGGGAGGGGGTGGAGTCACCATCCTTGGAGGTGTTTAAGGACAGACTGGATGTGGCATCAGTGCCATGGGCTGGGAACCACGGCGGGGTTGGATCAAGGGTTGGACTGGATGATCTCAGAGGGCTTTTCCAACTCGGCTGATTCTGTGATTCTGTGATCTATGATTAAAACACCATCGTGCCTTTTTGTCAGGACAAAGCCCCCCAGAAACACATTTTTCCTCATCTCTGACACATAATCATGGAATCACAGAACAGTTTGGGTTGGAATGGACCGTAAAGATCATTTAGTTCCACCCCTGCCATGGGCAGGGACACCGTCCACTATCCCAGGCTGCTCCAACCTGGCCTTGGACACTTCCAGGGATCCAGGGGCAGCCACAGCTTCTCTGGGAAATTCATTTCAGGGTCTCCCCACCCTCCCAGCCAGGAATTTCTCCCTAATCTAAATCTCACTGCTAGTTAAGACACAGAACTCCCTGAGCCATTCCTGCCTCCCTCACACGTTTGGCCATCCCTGGTGATGTGATCTGGCGCTTCTGGACCGACCTTCAATGCTGCACCAGGCAACTTTATCCTTCTCTGATGCCATAATATGTACTCTGGACACATTCTTAACCCACAGGCTCGCCCCAAAATCCTGAATTTAGGGTGTCCACCTGACTTCCAGGTGCAGAACCAGCAGGCAGCGATCGGCCATCTCCTGGAAAGACCTGGCCAGCTCACTCAGCGTTTGCAGGATCTGTTCGGATGCAGGGAGCTGTTCCATGCTGGAATGGCTGTCCTGGCCTGGAGACATGGCTGGAAAAGAGAAGACAGAAGAGATTTGTGACATCCTTCAGCAGCTTTACCACCCACAGCATCTCATCTGCTCCCACCCCAAACACGTGCGTTCTCCATGCCTTTGGCTGAGCAATAACGGCTCTAATTTGATATTTAACATCTACTGTGAAGCACCAAAGTGCTTCTGCAATGGATTGAACTCCAAAGTGAGCCTGAGGGGGTTTAATCAACCCCCAGGATACGTTTGCTTGGGAAGATATTGCTCTGTGATGGGTATTGCTGCAGCTGCAGAATCCAGGATCATTCATCTTGCTGGAAAGAGCTGCCTGGGAGCCAAAGCACAGCTCCAACAGGTGACAGGGTCCTTTTTTTAGTCACCACAGGCTCCCCCATCCGACCTCAGGTGAGTCTTTACTCCCTCAGAGGCACCTGGGAGGCTTTTCTGGGGGGGTTTTGTTAATAAAACACAGCTCTTGGGCAGCGAAGCAAAGCTGTGACCTGGCCATGGAGCAACTGCTTCCTTCCCACCGAGACCTCCAAAACACCACCTGGAATTTCTCCCAGCCCTGAGGACATTGTTCTGTCTCTGAGGGGTTTCAGTGCAGCTCTAACTCTGGAACCTCACCCCTTATATTTTATCCACTCACCCTGAACCTCCTCCCCAGCAAGAGCTGCCCCTTGAGTAAGGGAGTGAATTCCCTAATAGGAATAACACTCTGTTACCTCACATTCTGCCCTAATTAGAGGAAACACATCCCAAATTCCTGGGATCAAGGCCTTGCTCCAGCAGCACTTTAGGACTGACATCCAGCCTACATGATTAGCAAGGTTTGGGATCGGGCTGGTTCCTCTCACACAGCTTCCACATGAATTAAACAATGAGACTGCCAGGGATCTCCTGGATCAGCAAGTCCCATCCCCACAATCCCTGTGTCCCAGGGCCTGGAGTATGAACTCCTGGGCCATATTAAAGCTGGTCAGGTTCCTACCCCTGCTGGCTCCTTCCAAACATCGCTTCTCCAATTGGGAAGTTAAAATTTGGGATCTAATTTCCAGCCTAAAACTTGCTCATTGATGTTTTACGTTCGGTTCTTTACATGGTAACATTCCTGTTTTCCCTATGGAGCTCTCCATGGCTCTCTGGAGAATCAGTGAATCATTAAGGCTGGAAAAGCCCCTCCAAGATCATGGAATCAAACCATTCCCCAAAGCCATCACTGATCCACATCCCCAAGTGCCACATCCATATGGATTTTAAATCCCTCCAGGAATGAGGACTCCACCCCTGCTCTGGGCAGGACAACCCTCTCCACGAAGGAATTTTCCCAAATATCCAATCTGAACCTCCCCTGGCACAACTTTCCTCCTGTTTTGTCCCTTGGAGGCTGATTTAGGTAAATGTCACTCCAGGCTTGTTTGTACAACCTGCTTTGGGAGAGGAACCTTCAATGAGCTTTGGATTTGCTCCTAATTTAATTAGGAGTAAAATATAACAAAATTAAATTTTGCTTCTAAAGTTAAATCACATCCAGCCTGGAAAGAGGAAAAAAAAAAAAGGAGATAAAAAACTCAAAAACGTTTTTTGTGTAAAACAAATTGAAACGGAGGTAAAAATATAAGAGGGAGTTGTACAAATAAAGGAGGGTGGCAAAGCCAGAGGGAAAGATTTCACCCAGGGAGAGATTTCACCCAAGTGCCTGAATGTGCCTCTAAATGTTCTGGGAATTAAACCAGAGAAAAGTATGGAAGGATGAAGCCATGGAAAACATGGAGAGCTGGAAGCAGGTGATCTTTGGTGCCCGGAGAAGCTGTGGCTGCCCCTGGATCCCTGGAAGTGTCCAAGGCCAGGCTGGAGCAACCTGGGCTAGTGGAAGGTGTCCCTGCCCATGGCAAAGAGTTGGAATTAGATGATCTTGGAGGTCTTTCCAACCCAAAGCATTCTGGGATGACTCTGTGGATTCCCCTCCCTCAGCAGCTCCTGCGGGAACACGGTGAGAAATTCAAAAACTGCTGGAAATAATTCACTGGCCTGGAGTGTGGAAGAGAAATAAAGAGGGAAATGAGAGTGACAACCCCCAGGGGGAGTGGGAATGACAGGGATTCCCCCTCCCCAGCACACCCTGACACTCCTCCCAGGTTTTCTCTCTCCTCACCGAGCTCTACCCCGCAGAGAATATGGAATTATCACCGAGGGGGTGATGGGATTATTTGCACAACCTCTAATTTCCAGATCAGGGTGTTAACAGATGACTCTTGGAAGCTGCTTTGGAAGAGCTGTGACATCTCCAAGTGACACTGGTTTTCCCTGGAGGGGGGCAGGACTTTTGGCTCAGGGATCAGATCAAGGGATGCTTTTTTGGTCACAGCAGAAAGCAGGAAACCTCACCTTTATTATGCACGAAAAAACCACCTATTTTGAATCAAAAATCCTACATTTTGAGTAGCTTTTATCAGCCTGGAGATGGACTGGCTGCACGAATCATCTCTCTTTAGCAGTGTCAGGGCTCTCGCTCCAGAGATTCCGCCCCGGAAGGCCCGGAGATGGATGGACCCATCATCTGAAAAGCAGGAGTCAGCTAATTCCTGCAGCAGGCAGATACACACACCATTTTTCTCCTCTCCAGAACTCATTTACAGCACTTTAAGTGAAGCTGTAATTATATTTGTCAGTGGAGGCGAGAGGAGGAGGGAGACGGGGACGAGCTGCTCCTTATTTAAAGCCTGAAGTCCTTCTGGGTGTTCACAGGAGGGTCAGGTGGGGGCTTGGGGGGGATGAAGATGAATTTCTCCAGCGGATTTTCACTTTTTGAGCTCCAAGGAAGCCTTTCAGAGCCCATCAATTTTCCTTTGGACACCCAGGAAGGATCATTTCACAGCCCACGAGAAAAAAAATCCCCGTTTCTTTAAGTCTCGCTCGAGACGGTTTTTTACTCCATCATCCTGGGCACAGAATGAGCTGGAGCAGCAAAAAACCAAAATAATCAGAGCCTGAATTATTAAGGGGCCTGGAATAAAAAAATGTGATTTGGAGCTGGCTGTGGAGTTGGGCAGTTCTTTGGGCAGAGGGTGACACCGCCCGGGGCCGTCTGACCCACCACCCCTCCAAGAAAACGGGAGAGAAGCAAAAAAACAGCAGAAAAAGCAAAAAAACCTTGAAATACCAGAAAAAAACCCCCAGCAGATCGGCAGCCATCCACTTCTTCTTCTCCTTCTCCTCTTTCCTGATCCCTTTCCTCACCCTCCATCCCTAATCCAAGCTGAACATGATCCCAAATTGGCCAACACGACACCTACTGGTGGGGCGAGCGGCGGCTTCGCTCTGTTGGTGTTTTTATCACATTGAGCCTGGATTAATTTGCCTAAAGTGAGCTTTCCATGCCACTGGATAACACAGCTTTGCTTGGAATTTCTCCAGCCTTGCTGCAAGCACAGCCAGGTTCCCTCTCCCCGAGGAAACAGGGAATGAAACTTTGCCTTTTCATTCCGGCAAAGCGGAGAAAAAACCAACCCGATGCCCTCGTTGCCACCCCTGATTTCGATCCTTTGGCGACTCAGAGCTCTCCTGACAGGCTGGGCCTTGGAAATCGATGGCTGGGAATCGCCAGAGCTCGGGAATATCAAACAAAACCTGCCTTGTTGCCCATAAACAACCCCCTGTAACCACTCGAGGGCCGTTTCCCACCGCGGACGGATCGGAGCGATGGAACGGCACGAGGAGGGAAATCAACCCAAGGAGACGAGCTCTGAGCCTCAGGAATAAACCCCCACAGCGCTCCCTGCAGTTGCTTCAGGCTCACAGAGGCGTTTTACAGCTTTACTGAGGGGAGAAACCCTCTTTTTTGGGAAAGAGAGGCTGTTTGAAACGCTTGCTGTGCCCCACCGCAACATTAAAGGCCAGTTCGCAGCTTCCTAAATTTTAATGCCTGACCCCCTTCCGCTCCAGAAGAGGAAACTCCAAAATAAGTGCAAATATACCCTTAGAAAAGGGAATTTTTTATGGGTTACGTGTCAGACTAAGCCTTTAGAGCTCAGGATTAACTCTTCTCCCTGCTGGAGACTTTTCCGGGGATCTCACGAAGCACTTTCTCTTTCTGTGCTTTAGTTCCCAGTGTGGAAAACCTGGATAAAGTGCTTTTATCCATCACTCCCATTCAAGCTGACTCAGGTCTCCACATCTCCTTTTCCTACAGTTTTTAGCACCACCAGGTGATGATGCCACTGGGAGACAAAATTACTATTCAAACACCTACCAAAAAAAAAAAAAAAAAGGAGAATATCTGGTTATTTATAGGGAAAAAGCTTCGGGTGAAGTCGGAATAATCAGATAGGTGATTATGTGGGGTTTTTTTAGAGGAGATTAAAGTACAGTGAGTGCATCAAATTCAACATCAAGGGCTTATTTTGGGAAGATTTCCGAAGGAAGACGCGTTCCAGGAGATCTCTGCCTTCGGAACCCAAACAGCAGGAGGAAAACAATATATTTTTAAATATATCACTACAAAAAAACCCCACCTCTCTTTCTGCTAAGCCACTATCTGTCACTCTGGGACACAGCTGAGGAAAGGAATCCCAGAATTCCCAGAATATTCTGAGTGGGAAGGGCCCCACAGATGCCACTTGGACCAATTTTTGGCTGCTGGAGCACCATTTGAAGCTCCAAGGCACAGCTCAAACTCACTACCACTAAACTGGTCTAGTTTGGAGATCTCAGAGCTGCAGATTTATAGGAAAGGTCTGGAACGAGCCATAAAATCTGGAACTGGGTTTTGACTCTCCCAAAGTTCACGAGATTCCTCCCGGAGCTCCAGGGATTCGGGGAAGCAAAGCTGGATTTTGGGGTTGACATCTTCCCTGTGCTTCTCAGAGGGGTCAATGTTGGGACCTCCTAGATATGGTTGGATGTTTAAAATGTTTATGGATTGATTGCTGCATTGCTCCTTTTCTACCTGAATTGTTCTTTTTTCCAGAGAGTTTAAATAGAAATAAAGCACTAAGAGCAAGAACATCTCCCAAGACTT